CGGTAAAAAAACCTAAGTGCCAAAACATTTGTCTTACCTTATGATGTGGTTTTAGTTATTAATTTAGGCGTAATTTGCTGTTTTTCTTTGATATTTCCCCATCTTTCTTACTTATATCACTGACAAGAAGATGCAATTTTTGGATGAAAAAGCAATCTGACGATTGGATTTTCTCGAGCCGGTCTGTCCTGCCTTTCAGTGATAGAAGTGTAGTATTTTCTTTCTAAGAAACTCGATGGATCCTACACCAAAATGCTTCGTGCTATCTTGGCAAGACCATATAACAAATAAAACCCTCTATGGCTGTCTTCCACGCGTATCGGAAGTTGTTAGGGAGTTATCATTGTTTTCTTGTACAAAACAGTGTACTCGTGCTCTCTTAAATTTCCTGCAACGCAAAATTTTGAAAAATCTCCACTAAAAGCTTTTTGATAAGAGTTTATTCTTATTTATTTTTCTCCAGTCCAAAATTTGTGACCTTCCCCTAAAGCTCATTTGAAAAAAATTAACCCTCCCCAAACACACATCCAAAAAATCGTGACCCTCCCCACAAATTTAGTGGCCCTCCCCCCAATAAATGTCGGAGATTGGCACTGGCCGGTCATGTAAGTCGTCATGATGAGCCTGCCGTTAAAGTGCTCCTGTGGTCTCCAGAGGTAACACGTCGAGTTGGTAGGCCTAATGTAACCATCAAGTCTCTACTGGAGTATGACACTGGCTTGTCCGGAAATGATTGACGAAACGCAATGGCCGGTCGGATATGGTGGCGCAAGAACTTCACCAACCTTTCAACCTTTCACAGATGGATGACACAAGGAAGGAAGGAAGTATAGAGGGGGAGATATGAAATTCGATTTTCACAAAGTTTACACAATATGAATTTGGATCCTTTATTAATCATGTTGTAAAACATTGCTCATCTCGGTTGGTGTTCTAAAAAAATTTAGTATAAACATACTAATGGTCTATCACTCATACTGCGCTAATTGGCTACTCTACTAATGGTCTAATTTGTGATAGACCACTCGCGGGAAAATCAAAATAAATAAATTATAAATTATTTTAAGGATATTTCAATTTGTTTTCATTATTTGATTAGTATGTTTATACTAAAACAATTAGACCTCTCAGCCTCGTGGACTACGAGCTAATAGCCCATTCAGCCTCGCAGACTCGGCCTCATGGGCTATTAGTTCGTAATTGTTCTAATTGTTAAGTATCCAGACACTTTAATAGACAGCAGACTAACCAAACACGATTGTGCATGATTGATAATATCTGAAATAATTTAAGTACCTTATCAACAATAAATATCGTTATTATATACCAATCAATGCTATAACAATGGGCATGACTGTTTGTCCATTCCCTTACATGGCCGCCGCCCCTGTCCCAACAGGCTTAAGCCCCGTCTACAGCAATTTTTATGTGGCAATTTTTATGTGACAATTTTTATTTTCCCGAGTAGATGAGCAAAATTAGTCAATTTTTATTTGACAACTGTAGTTGCTGGAAAGATGGCATGCTAGTTTTTAAGTGACGACTAAAAATTGTCACATATCGAAAATTGCCCGTGTGGATGAGCGTCACTTAAAATTGCCACATATAGTTGTCACATAAAAATTTCTCATGTAGACTGGGCTTTAACACAGATAGAGGGATTACGTTGCATTCCATGCTTTGTTAACCAGCTCAATTTTTCTTTCAAGTTCATGTCTCTGTGTCTCTAGATTTTCACCCAAATCTTTCAGTTCAGAAGATGATTTGACCAGCGTTTTGTAGTTTTTCACAAAGTCTGTTACATGGATGTATTTTTCTTTGTCTTGACCTCTGTTTAAATCATCTCCTGTTGTGATGCCTGTGTTTTGGGTTGGTAAATAGCTGGTTTGAGAGTCTGTTCCTGGACAAAGTCAAAAAACCTCTCATTATTTTCTTGTAAAAAAAAGGATATAAATTTCAAAATTTAGACTTTTGTTTAACAAATTTGAAAAGAARATGGATTGATTATACAYCAGAAACTTCAAACTTACGTCCATGGTCTTTCTCTCCATGYGAAGAAGACGAAGAATGCCCTAYTAGCCCTTTCACAACCGGRCAAACTTCACTCGGATGTTGGAAAGCCACGTCTTGCAAACCTGAGTTTCGCAAATCCGACAATATCTCTTCAAAACTTGGTGGCTTGGGGGCCTGCGCTGCTAAAGAGTCCTTGGCCATCATAAATAAATATTCTCAAATTATTTGATTGCTTAAATGAGTGAATAAGATGCGAAAATCGGATAAAGGAAAAAAACATTTGTCATGAATTGAAAGCCGCCATCTTGTTTTTGTGAGGTGTGGGGTCCCCGCTGTTCAACTTAATGCAGGCGCAGAACCTGAGGAAGCGCGGACTCTGGGTACGAGATTCAATGGCGCGCGAATATTTTGGAACTCTTTTAAAGTTTTTAGTGTATTTTCCTTGATTATGGCGTTTATTTAGAGCAGATCTTTAAGATATATGTAGTTTCTTTTCTGTGTTTGTTTTGCAATGCCTAAAATTAATCTTGGAAGGCTCAAAGCCGSAGYTCTCTCCAGAGAGACTTCGCGGTCAACTCAAGCAAGCATTTCAAGTTTTTTCAGYCCAAAAAYWGTTCGTGAAGWAAACGARAAGGYASAGAATTCATCTAAMAAGGTAAGGTGTTATAGGKGTTAGAGATCGGAGAATTATCATAGCTGTTTTGGACACAAATGGAGTACATCTATTTTTATATGWAGTCACCTCGTATATCGACCACGGTCGGTTTATACTTCAAAAAGTTTCTTAACGTTTCGTAACAAATTGATGTAACAAATTATAAATCATCCAACCGTTCGATCTGTTTGTTTTTAATCACTTGTTCATTCATTCATTTCATTTTGCTGTTTGTTCATTTGTTCTTTCATCCACTTTTCCCATCCTCCTGTCTTCCCATCCGTTCATTTGTTTACTTAGATTATCCTGTTATTCTCTTAAATTCTCCTATTATTGTCTTTTCAGAGAACCTCAAATGAGCTGCCATCAAATAATCAAGAAACAAAAAGACAAAAACTCTCACACAAAACTATKGACCTAACAGCCCCTAACAACAATGCATCATCCAATTCMATGACAAAGCTTAAARTATTTGAAAGGGACTCTCAATATTTCACTAGAAAGGATTCAAAGTCTGCAGAATATAGTAACACTAATACAGAAGATGACACAAGTGATTGCATAATTATGCATGATAMTAGAATGGAAAAAAGTGAAGAAAAGACTAATTTCAGCTGTTTTAGAAGGAATACCATGAGTGATTCTAAAGAGAAATCATCTTCAATTGCCAAGAACCCAAGAACTAAAACACAATACACACCATTGGAATTACAGTTTATTGAAATCAAAGAGAAATATAAAGATGCTGTGTTGTTTGTCGAGTGTGGTTATAAGTACAAGTTTTTTGGAGAGGATGCCGAGGTACTGTATTCACTCATAATTCCATTATAATTTATTTTTGTGATTAATAATATTGATATTTTTCCTTATCTCATGTGAATAGGTCCTTAGGGATGTACTGTAAACCAGTTCGAATAATAATCATAAGATAAAAATATTGAAGGCAAAACATAAAAATATTCAAGCATTATCTTTCCCACCATATGTAGATTGCATCCAAAGAACTAAACATTATGTGCTTCATGGATCATAACTTTATGGTTGCAAGTATTCCAACTCATAGACTTCATGTTCACGTCAAAAGGTACACTGGAGTTTAGGCTATCCTCCTTTGCAGACATTATTAGAGCGGATTTCGTATGAGTGGGAAACGGACGGTACTGTACTGTAACCGTAATCGTACTGTAACCAAATTCTAGTGCCCCATTGATTCACCAAAATTGTGCAGGCCAGGTGCGGTAACTGTGCGGTAACTGTGCGGTAACCGTGCGGTAATGGTGTTCCACTCACTTATACGAAATTCACCCCTAGTATCGTTCATACATTACTGATACTAATAACATCTGCTAAGGCRGCTAAGTTGAGGTTGGATTAATATGTGTTCATTAATTTAAGTGTCAAACAGTAAAGTGAAGATRYTTTTATTTAGTGATAAATTCTTTTAATYCTTTGRTATCAGACTAGTAAACAAAGGCTACAAGGTTGGTGTTGTCAAGCAGACAGAAACAGCTGCTCTCAAAGCTGCTAGCGACAACAAGAGCAATGTATTCAGTCGTCAACTCAGTGCTTTATACACAAAGTCAACTCTGATTGGTGAAGACATGCAAGTAGCAAATGATAGTAGTGACAATGAGCTGGATAATTGTGGTTCGTATTTAATGTGCTTGTGTCAGAGTGAAACAGAAGGTTCAYCAACAAAGGCGGCTAATGAAGAGATTATGACTTTTAGTTTTGTGGTGAGTAATCATTRTTTGCATTGMTTTAGGTAGCCAGTTYAGAGATAGTTCTTGATGTGCAATTTATACTATATGTGTACTATTTGRGTGAGCGCTCTTAAACCGTGCAACTGTACAAAATCTAAGTGGTACTGATTTGTACTAAAAGTGGACCTGAAGCAAGACAGTGTTAAATGCTTCATTTGTATCATTTTTCAATCTAATTTGTGTACCTCATGCAYRATTTACTAAATACAACTGAATAGTACTATTWAGTTTGWACARTTGCACGGTTTAAGTGCRATCACTCTAGATGTYAATCAACCAAAGAGCTTGATTGACAGCAGGCTATTGCTAATTGTTGTGATATTTGTATTGGTTGTTCACATAGCAATGGTAATTGTGGTTAAGATTTTATGTAATCATTACCATCTTAATAACATTTCTTCTAATTATTGTTCCATCCTTCAGGCTGTCTGTCCATTGACTGGTGATGTCATCTATGATGAATTCAATGACACTCCAAGATGYAGTGAACTAGAGACAAGGCTACAACACATTKGKATCWCAGAACTGCTTATTTCAGATGCTCTCTCACAACACATGAAGAGTTTTATCAAAATGTTTACATCTCAATCTAGAAGGTATCAATTGTTAAATATAGTTTTAMRTTTGATACATTAGTTTCTGGTCGTGTTGTCTTCAATTGTCTTTCATGTGTTTTGTCAGCCATCTTTATGCTGTCTTTAGGTTTTAGATTATTAAACTTAAGTTCATCAAAACAGTTGTTATGCTGGTGTTTTGTTATAGTTATTGTTAAATATTTATCATGATAATATTGCTAAGCAAAGTTTATTATTGATAATTTATTATTTATAACCCTTTATTCTTAGTCAAGARGACTCCATTAGAGTTGAAGAACTGCCATCAAAATACTTCACTGATGAATCTGCAAAGCAAATTATTAAAGATTGCACTAGTCAAGGTAGCAACACTGACAATAGCACTGACAAAAATGGTGAAAGTACAAGTAAAGATTCTGTTCAAGACACAATTGTACACAAAATCTCCAGTCTACCAACAAGTACAAGGGTGTGCTATGCTGTACTGTTTAGATACTTGAAGGATTTTAAGTTAGAAAGAGTACTGGGTCTCTCAAGGTTTGTAYAAATACGCATTATGCCCTTTTATTGGTCAACAATTTGGCTTGCTACAGTAGCAACTCCACTTTTAGTAGTCCAGGTGGGAGTGCTTTTTGAGCTTTCAATGTCCAGTCTTTTTTCTCTTGGACTGTACTGTTCCAAGCCCAAATAGCATTAATCTAGGTTTAGCTCTATAGGATTTTTTTAATTAGTAAACCCAGGAACAATTAAGCAGATGGGGGCACTAGAGTGATTGCAACTGTGTAACTGTACATACTAAATAGTACTATTTAGTTGTATTTAGTAAAGTTGTATTTAGTAAATCGTACATGCGGTACACAAATTAAATTTAATTAATACAAATGCAGCATTCAATACCTTCTTGCTTCAGGTCCACTTTTAGTACAAATTARTACTACTTAGATTTTGTACAGTTGCACGGTTTAAGTGCGATCACTCTAATTGTGTTATACTGTGTTATATTGATCAAAGATTTAACTGTCGTTTTTCCCTTTCACAGCAACATTGTGCGTTTCACCAGTACAAAGGAATACATGAAACTCGATGGATGTACTGTGAAGAATCTTGAACTGTTTAAAAACGAGGTAT